CCCCCCCCCTTTTTTTTTTTTTTTATTCTTTTAATGCCCCCTCACCCATCCATCTCAGTGCCTTGGGCAGTCGTCTCTGTTGCCCCACCCCAGTTATGCAACTGCCCGCTGTTCTACTTCTCTTGTAACATTTTCTTGAGTAGTTTGATGTCAATGAAAGGTCTTGGCTAAATATGGTCTTCTAAAGAATGGGTACTGCACAGAGCAGCTTTTCCCTTGCACACCCCTGTCACTAATGTGCTGTGGCTTTTGGGGCAAGGAACAGAGAGGCAGATGTATAAATCAGTAGCATTTAGAGACAACTCCAAGTAGAGAAATGCTGACCAAGCTCAGGCCCTTCTGTGCTAGACCCCATGTGTCTGGAAAATGAGGCCATCAGAGGTAGGGAGAACAGGCACCATGGTCCCATTATGCATTTGGGGAAGCAGGATGGAGAAACGCAACTTATCTGAGACGACCTGCCAAATTAAGCCTAGGACCTAGCCCAGTGCAGTAGACCACATTGTTCCCAGTCTCCTCAAGAGCCAAGAAACCAGCAGTGGGGTATCTGGTGACTCCATCCACTCAACTGGACTGAGATTCCACAAAACTCATTTGATACATGCTTTAGCCATCAGTTGCCAATGGCATCCAGTCCATCCTGGCTTGGCCCCAGCAGGCTCAAATCCAGACTGTCTAGTGACCAGCTCAGCTGAGTTCTCTCTCCTCCAGAAGGCTAGGCACTTGCCACCAAGCCAGCAAGCACTTTGCAGGCCTGTTACAGGGTAAGGCTGCATACGTGGCTGAACTTGCAGTAAAGCAGCCATCAACATATCTAACAGAAGACAGGATAACCAGCCTCCTCTATCTGGTGGAGAGGTGGTCCTCGGGGAATGGAGGACTTGGCAGTATCCTCTGCAGTGGGGGTGGCTTGCTTAAATGGATTTTCTTTTGGAATACATTTGCTGCATAAACTGTCCTAAAAATAATGCTTTTGGCATGAAGCGACTTCCCCTGCTGTTGTGCACAAGTTTTTCATGAGACTTCAGAGGGGAAATGTTAGGGCTGGGAATTCCAAGGAAGGATCTGGGGGTCCATGAATGTTTCCTGTCCCTCCTTCATTCCACGTAGAACATCTCTGGGCATTTCTCTCTGGTGCCTCTTGTGACCCATGATTGCTGGCTGTAGCAACAAGAAAACCAGGTCTTGTAGCAGGTCTGGTACATGGGCTGTAAAGCCAGGAAATGGTCCTGTAGCGAATGTCCTGACCTAAAGATGTGGGTTCAAAGGCTGTTCTGCCTCCGATAATGTGCAGCTTTAATTAAATTTAGTCTGTAAAATTGGGATAACCTTTTTTGCCTTCTGGGGGGAAATGCATTAGTAGTTTTTGAGGCCCTTTGGGATGCATGGCCTCAAGTGTAACACCCACTCCAAGGGACTGATGTTTATTATCACTTCCTGATCCAGTGTAGTCAAAGTGAGAAAGGGCAGGGTGGGCAGAGAGCAATTCTGACACTTTCAGTTCCAGTTCAAGATCAAAGCCAGTCAGTTTGCTGTTGTGGTGAGTGATTCTCTGAGGGGTTAAAGAGAAGCCTGTTTTGTTTTTTGTGCCTTGAGGACTGAACTTTCTGATTCTTCCCAGGTGTCAAACCACTTTCCCTCTGGAGCCCCATGTAATCAAGGGTTAAATCTGACTAGATCTAAACTAAAGTATTGCTGGAAAATTTTCTTTCCTCCTTAGGGGCCACTTGATGGCTTGGTGGGGGAAGGGCTGGAAAAGAGAGCCAAGCACTGGGGCCTTGCTGGTTTAAGGTTTCCAGCATTAGGTTTGTAGCTGACGGTGCTGTTCAGTAACAAAGCGCTAGCCGGTAAAAAGTGGTTCAGCACTGCAATGCTTGTAGAAAGCCCATGTATGGTCATGCTCCAGCAGTGCGGAGAAGGCAGGGGGAAGCTGGGCTAGGGTGGGCTGTGGCTTTTTGATGCACTAAATCTCCTCCGTGGTTTTTTAATTTTGTCAGAATACCTTCTCGTGGGCTATTTGAACCCAGTTTCCAAGCCAACAGAGCCCCTGCTGAGGCCTCTCTCTCATCAGGGACTCTGTGCACAGGCGTAGTTAGGAACCTATCTGGAAGCCCCACCCTCCTTCCATTGACGGGCCACTTCCAGGCCCTGGATCTAACCCTGTTTCTTGCCACTCTGTACAGTGGATAGGTGGCAGTTCTCCAACTGTCCAGACTTGGTGCCTGCTCCCTGTTCTGGGGGAATAGCTGTCTTGTTACTTCCTGTCTGGGTTGGGAGGAAGAGGAATGTGTCTTTGCTTCAGACCAAATAAAAGCTGTAAAGCACAGTTCCAGTAGAGAGAGTAAAACAGCTACCAGGTTCAGGGACAGGATGTGCTTGAGAGATCCTCTTAGTTAGGGCTGCCTTCTTCCTTGTCCTCAGCCAGGTACCTGAGCCTTGCTGTTAATCTATCGCAGATGTGTCAAGGTAAGTGGTACAGGGTGGATAAGGCCCATGAATCCCTCCCCCTCTATACATGATCCCAGGACCACGCTGCACACACTGCTCACAAGCGCTACTTGCAGCCTGGGCCCTGTAGCTGCTGGTGTGGGTACTGTAAGTGCAGTATGGATGCCACTCTGGCCAGGCTGTGGCACCTGTTTTTTCCACTTTGGGCCCTGCGCCCAGACCAACTGGAGCAGCCTCCAAATCAGGTATGCTAAGGGAAAAAGGAGAGGGGTCCATGGGCCCAGTCTGGCCCACAGACTGGCCCTGCATCATGGGTACATGCCATGCCCCATGTAGATCTGGTCAGACTCGCAGGAAGCTCTGAGGGCTGGATGGCAGGACTCCACGGGCAAAATATTTGATAACCCTGCTCTATAGGACTCTCAGCTGCAATCATTGGTATTGGCTTGCAGTACCAGACCAGGACCCCTGGCTTTGAAGCCTTAAACCTTGGTCTGACTAAACTGCAGAAACTTGGGAAGGGAGTTGAGGGGGACCAGACCAGTGCCTGCTCACTGACTTGGAGGCCATCCTGATGCTCTTAGATCTGTGCTGTAATTACAAGGCTCAGGGTAGTATAGTGATGGTTAGGGAGCAGAGCCAGGTGGCATCATGGGCTGCAGAGGTCTTGGTGTAAACAGCAGGTCCCCATGGCCAGTACAATGCTGGTGCTCCCAATGCAGGGCCTGACAAGTGCAACATCCTGGTGTTTCTGATTTCAGAGCTCTGAGGAGTCAGTGCTGCTCCATGCAGAGCTGAGGGAGGGCTCTTGGCTGCCTCTGGCTTAGAGGTGACCACATGTTCCTGGGTTGTGAGCAGCTTTGCTCACTTTGGGCTGATTTGTTCTTTCTCATACTCTTGGGTTGGGACCAAAAAGTGACTTGCATGGGAGCTGCCTGTTAAAGCTGTGGCACCTAGGGGTGGGAGCTCTGTTGTGGTAGTGGCTGTAGTTTCTGCCTTGAGAGAGTTGGTGTCTATTACTTGCTGCCCCCACCTGTGCTTTGAGCTGTTCTTAAGGCATCGTGGTGGAGATCTGCACAGAGTGGCAGGGAGCTGCCTGGCTTTGGTTGGGAAGAGGGTTCTGTGCATGATGGGTAGTGGGATGTCTGGGAAGCTGAGGCCTGCACAGGCAAAGCTGGTGTCACTGCTAGGAAGGAGGGCTGGTAAGAGGTGAATGGGTAGGGAGGAATGGAGTCACAAAGGGTCTTGAAGGGGTTTTGAGGGCTGTTCTACAGAGATGCCCAAACACCCTTGCAGTGGTGGTAAACCTGCCTGTTCTTGGCCTGACTGGGTCGATGTTAAACTTTAGATACTTCCTCACAGGTTGGGGTCCTTTTCTACTGACTCTTCTCTTGTCTCCTTTTCCCCTAGACTGGAGGAGGTGCCGCTGGAGGTATTGAGGCAGAGGGAGTCCAAGTGGCTGGACATGCTCAATAACTGGGACAAGTGGATGGCCAAGAAGCACAAGAAGGTGAGTGCCTGCAAGCTTCCTGCCTCCAGCTGTCTCTGTGCTGCTTGCCTAATGCTGAGGCATGTTACTTTTGGCACCTTGTGTCTGGTGGCCTCCATAGTGCTGGTATGAATACCGTAGGATGGGGCATCCTCTCCAGGACACTTCAGCCTTGCTCAGAGGAGTGAGCAGAGCACTGCTCAGAGGTGACTCACTGGGGAGCACAGGAGGAGAGTTTTTCACAGGGCCTGTTGCATCCAGGGCAGGGGCACTGTTGTTGGGTAGTTCTCATCCTGCATCGCATAGGGCTGTTGACTGCCTTGGTGGCTGTAGTGAGTCAGCTTGGGTGCTATATACTCTCCTCTCTTCCTGATCTGTGTTTCTAATCTGAAGTGGATGGAATCTCTTTGCTTCCATCACCCCTCATTTTCTCCAAAGGCAGATATCCTATATTTAGGTAGTCGAGAGCTCTGGGCAACTGTTTCATGCCACAGTCATAGCGTGAAACTGGGATTAAAAATAATCCCTCCGCAGTCTTGTCTCCTGATGACTAAACTGAGCATCAAAGTCCTCATTTCCCAGGTGATGCCACTTGCTTGACTTGTCTCAATAGCATTAGTCCAGTTCACACATCTGTTTTTAGTTCCTGAACCTGTGCTGCAGCATCTGGGTTGCCAACAGAGAAAGATGCTTGAGCGCAATGCGTCATTGGTTTTTAAAGATGAATCCTGGAAACTTTTAAGGGCTGGTCTAGATTGCATTGGCAGCAGGGCTTGGAAGATAGGGCTGAGCCACACCCTGCCTACCTGTATCTATTGACATGCTCCAGAAGGCTGCTCAGGGGGCCACCCAGCCTTGGCACCAGTGCCTGCTGCTAAGGGCTTGAGAGTGGATGCTGGAAAGGAACCTGGGGTAGCCTCGTGTTTAACTTCTGGCTCTGGAGTATGTCAGTGGACTCAAGTTGATTTGCTCAGCCTTCTGGTGCGGGGCACCCTGCTCCTGCGATGACACAGATGCTCCCCAATGTTTTGATCATGTTATGTAAAATGCTTCTGTTTGCTTTACATATTTTTAAATCCACATTTTGGATGTGATGCTGGGCCCCCTGGGGGAGGGAGGGAGCAGGGAGTGGCGTGGAGATTAAAAGATCAGCACCATGCATGCCTTTATTGCTCTGGTTCCCAGTACTCCTGAATGGTGGAGCCTTGTTGTTCTGGGTGCTGAATGGCACTGTCTGTTCTGAAGTTTGTGAACAAATTATGACAAGATGCAAGGAGCTTAAGTTACATGCAGGCTCTGTATTGGTGATTCTTAGGTGCTGGGCACCCTGGGGTGCCATGAGATATTTTTGAAGAGTGCCAGGAGGTGTGAGGAGATGAGCATTTGCTCAATTCAAAGTTGAGCAAAAATTACAATTTATGGGAGTTCCAAAATTCCACGTAACTTGAGTGTAATGGGGTGCCTTGAGTCTACATCGGTGGTTCTATAATCACCATGCATAGACCAGCTTGTTCCTGGGGGTTATGGAGGGGTAAATGTTAGTCAGAGCTGCCTCCTTACTTTGCTTGCAGCATTCTCTTCCTTTTTGAAAGATGGGGCCCATCTTGTTCATAGTTATTTGAACTCCTAAGACGCTCCGAGCTGCAGTGGTTTTGGTGTCTGTATAGCCCTGGCAGTGTCTTGGGCATGCTCTTTTTCATAAGACAGAAATCCTTCTGCTGCTTCTGTTGCCTTATGTTTTTAATGTGTCCTGGGAACAGCTTGGAAACCCAGATGGCAAGGGTGGCTTGCAAACAGTCTTAGCTGCTCCCATTGTTATCACTTTCTGTTAACTCTCAAAGGTGTAGTCTCCAGTCTTGTGTTAGTGCCTCACTTGCAAACCTGAGCAACTTCTATCCCCATGGCCTGGACTGATCACTGTGCAGTTATGACTTGGAAAGAGACCCCACAAGTGTCTTGAACATGTGGCTGCAGCCTGGTCCCTGTGGATGCCTTGCCTCTGAAGAACTACTCCCCCCTGGAAGTAACCAGCCAGTGCATGCTGCTTTCCTGCACCCAGCCCTTTGTGCCTTTGTAATAGGGCTGACGCCTACATTATCTAGCTGTGTGTTAATGGTCTTTTTCTAGGCCTATTGAAACTCAACTCTGTGGTTAAGCCATACATACTCCTGGCTTCACCTTTCCTTTAAAAGCCTTGGAATACCTAAGTTGTGGGAACAGGCCTGTGTAATAGCTTTGCTAAAGTCAGCAAAGGATGCCTCTGGCCCAGAGAACTTTAGGCCAGTGTCAGTGCCATCTTTGTAGGCTTTATGAATGCCTTATTCTCAGTCACCTTTTGCCTCATATCAAACAATATCTAATACCAGAACAAGCCATATTTAGATCAGGCAAGTCTGGCACTGGCCAAATACTAAACATCATCCAGCATAAAGAAGATGGATTCAAGAAAGGAATGGTAATAAGTGCTTTGTTTGCAGATCTATCTACAGGTTTATAGACCTATCCGACACAGTCAGCAACCAAAACCTGATTGCCAGAGTCTACAATATGACCCACAACTACCACCTAGTGCAGTTCATCTGATCTCTTTTGGAGAATAGACATTTTAGATAGAACTGTGCAAAAAACGGAGCCTCTGGAGATGGCAACAAAATGGCCTCCCACAGGGCAGCATGCTAGCACCGATCCTCTTTAACATATATACCAATAATCAACCCATACAAAGTAATACAAGGAGCTTAATATACATTGATCTATGCATTGCATTGCAAGAGAAGGACTTCGCCACTGTCGAACAGACTGACGTGTGCGCTGAGCAACCTCTCAGATCACTACAATAAGAACCAGCTTTGTGCCAACCTAACCAAGACACGGGTCACAGCTTTTCACCTATGCTATGGAGAAGTGCAGGGGAAAATTAAACGTCTGGGATGGAATCCCATTGACAAATCAGCTGAACCCCGTGTACTTGAGGGATACATTGGACAAAACACTTGCCTTCAAAGCACATGTAGAGAAGATGAAAAGGAAAGTGCCCGCAACAGCATGCTTTGAAAATTGGTCACCCTAAAGTGGGGGGTAGACCCAGCTACACTACAAACCACTGCTGTTACCTTGTGTTATTCTACTGCAGAGTATGCAGTATGGAAACTATCAGTTCATGCCAAGAAAATAGACCCAGTTATAAGTGACAGCTGTTGTGAAATAACAGGATGTCTAAAGCCAACACCAAGGGATAGCCTGTACTTACTGGCTGGCATTGTATCACCTGATATCAAAAGAAAGGTAGTGAGCCAAAAAACCCCAGGAGGACCTTCTAAGAGGGGTGGATCTAGATTGACCAACATGGCCAATCTAGATCTGCCTGAATTGCCTGTGCACACAAATTAGAAAATCGAAAACAAACATGATCAAATGGGGCTACTCAAATGACACAAATGTATACAAGTGCACTTAAGTGCAAACTGTAAAGCACATTCTCATTTGCCAACTCCTTGGGGAGACCTGTACGATGGAGGACCTCCCTGCAGCAATGGAAAGAGCCATCATTTATTCAAGATTCTGGAAAAAACATCTAGTTTGACAAGGACACAAAAAACTACCTTTTTTTGTCTTGAGTGTCATTGTGGTCTTACTTAGGTACTTTTTTGTGCTCTCAGGGGGATCTCTGCATAATCTACTTCCAAGTGAAGCATTCAGCTCTTGTATTGTCTGCTAGCCCAGCCTTACCTCTTGCATGGCTTCCTGTGGTCTTTTCATGTCCTGTGTCTCTGGCGGGGGGAAGCTGTAACATTGACAAGTTCTACAGGAATTGCTTTAATCCAAGGCTCACCTTAGAAGTGGCTGCCTTCTCTAAATTGTAAGCTCTGTCGGCCTTTTAAATCCACTTCTTTCAGAGCTGGTGAAGGGCCTAAGCCAAGCGCGCAACCCCCCCCCCCCCCCCCCCACCCCCGCCACCCCT